GAAATTCAATCTCGATAGGAGAAAATGTTCTATATAAAGAAGAATAAATCGACGGCTCAAGTATATATTTGGACGCGCGGCATACGCGCAGTCAATATCGGAGTAACGCATTTTTTTTATTATCTTATACGCAATAAAACGTAATATTTGTATGATGTAGAGAGGCAGGTATTTCCGACATATTCGAAAAATTATTATTGATAGTATAAAGGAAGCTTTTCCATCTTTTCGTCTCTGAAACACGTCTCTTGAAGTACATATAGATCAATAAATCACCGCGCTTTTTAGCTCTGACGATCGCAAACGGTCTTTAATTCCACATATGGAGTATCAAATTTATCTCGGATTGCCTTATGTAGCATTATCTTTACCTGGATAGATTTTGACACCTCGATCAACATGCATCTTTGGACATCTATACCTTTTTAGTTAGATATCTCAAATTGCTTTCAAGTGACTTATTGTGGAGTTTTGGAGCGCATAATAATTTATACAGATATATCATAAGATTATATTAGCTATAATTGATGTCTGTTTAATGCCTAATAAAATTAAAAAAAGAATGATCAAAGAATAATCAATACAAGTGAATAACTCACATGTCGAGAAACTGTGTAAATGATTTGTCACTTTATTCCTGTCTCATTCAACGTATTTTATTTCGATATTTATTGATACACTTGTATACAGAATATTTTTGTACATTATGTTTGCATTTGCTCAACATTTTTAGATGCATTTTTAACAAAGCCATTTTATTCAGAGCTTAGCGTTTTACATTGAATATTTTCTAAATAAAATCTCGGGAGAAGATACAAAAGGACTTTCTAAGAAAAATTCAGAAAAGAAAGCATCTATCACTTGAATTCCGCCATATACGTAACACAATCTAGAAAATGCAGAGCGTTAAAAATTTATAAACCAAATATTTTCCGGGCAAGGCACGCGCCACTCTTGCTCGTCTCACTTTTACATGTGAATACTTTATAGGGCATAAAAAGCTCACAGCAACCGTGGTTAACTGCAAATTGTTAGAGTTCTGCGGTGGCAGGGGGATGAGTAATCGGGACCAAGAGGGGGCTCCTGAAGAAAAAGGGCAGATTAGAAAGCATGAGAAAGCCTCGATAGAGGGAAAGTTGCGGCAATGTGATACGAGAGGGAATGCGAAAGAGAGAAGGGTGCTGGTGGAAGTAGACTAACGGTGCGGTCGTGAGGGGATGGTGGCGTGGAAAGGTCGCGCGCTGCGACGCTGTGCGAGAGGGCGGATGTCAGTCCACGTTCGAGCGGCCACCGGTATGGCCGCGTGAACGGATCGGCCCGCGTTTCTTCTCGTCTCTCACTCTTTGTGATTTTACGACAAAAGTTGGATAAATCGCGGGGCCTAAGACACGCGATCGTACGTGACTAAAAGAGAGAAAGTGCGCGCAGAAACGAAGTGTAGAGTTGACTCGCAATCAGTGAGATGACCATTGGTGCGATGCAGCGTATCGTTAAAGACTCGTCGGATGTATCGCTCGAAAGAGCTTCCTGGTTGATCAATATTTAATATCGATTTGAAATTGAACAGAGATCATCTTTTGATGCACGTATATCGAGAGGAAACCGATATCAGTTTTGTATAATTTTGTATCTATAATAGTGTCAGTTTTTTTAACGTGATGAGTCTTGTGAAAAGATTGATTAGTGAAATTATTGTCAATATACGACAGGAAATCTATGACATATTGTCAATATTTATCATGCACGATGACGACGAAAAGTATGTTAATTTTTCAAATATGCATCGTTTTTTTTCGTTTGACAACTTTTTATCATCGTACGTTTAGTAATTGTTAACATCAAAGTGTTTAATAAATATCGATAATTTAAAGATTTCTTAGAGAGTTTACAATTAGATTGAATTAATTTGCTAGCATACATATGTTCATCTATCATTAGATATGATTAGATTACGTCTTGGTAAGGAAGTATATATGGAAATGTATGTGTATTCTTACCGCGATCTTATCGCGATTTACTTTGGCTATATCAAGGAATCACAGAAATATGTTCACGTGTTTTGCGCGAGTTTGTTCAGCTCAATACGGCATGTATACCGCGTGATCGTTAACTTGCTATTTAGCAAACTGAGTATAAGAATCCTTCCTGACTCATTCGTAAACCACGTTCTTATATTCATTTTATGAGATTTTATACAAACCATTTATTTCATTTTCTCTTAAGATCTAATTAATGAAGATATGATGGTATTTACATTTCTTCGTCCGACCATACCTAAACCCGTTCTACTACGAGTTTCTGATGAATGATACTTAGATTCATTCATTTCTTTTTATTGTTAGGAAATATTATTTTTAGAGTAAAATAATGTTTATTAGATTAAATTTTATTTTAATACAAATGAGTAGGAAAACGCCATATTCGGTTAAAATAAATTATTATGCATAATAATATAATTTAATAATCTATAAATTATATCATTATGCACCCGAAGATTTGTCTTAACCAAATATAGAGTTTTCCACTTATTTGTGTTTAGCATTTTATCGGTCGATTTTTACTTAATATTGTTTGTTAATTGTCATTTTATGACTTTGTTGTATTAAATTTGAAAAATTTGTATTGGGAAGTAGGTTGGTAAATGATCATGTATCTGTATAGACATGCTAAAACTACAAATTGTTGTATGTTTTACTTGACTAATTATATTTGATGAAATTACATGTCTTTTATTTTATTTACTTTTTAATTAAAATTTTATTTATATTTTTATCTCTAATTAATTGCATAATTTACAATGTAAAAAAAGTTATTTTATACCTTTTATTGAATAAAATTAGATATTTTGTATTTTTCTTGCGCAATTCTAAAATAAATTATTTATATTCTCTATATTTTTTGTACAATATGATTTATGAGCTTGATTTTCCAAAATTCTAAGTGCAAAATTAGCGTCTACATTGGAGAGAGGAAAAATGCGAGGTATTTAAATCTTTTAGCGCCGGAGAAAATGAGATCACGATAAATTTATTACGACACCTTTTTAAGGTTTCGAACGATCAAGAAAATGCTTGTACCATTTATGTGTGGAAAAAGAGTATTCTTGTTACTGTGATGATATTTTGACGTTATACTCTTTATTCTTTATCAAAGATATAAAAACGTTATCCGACATAATAATAAGTGAAGAAATATGAATAGAGATCGAAAACGTTATCAGTATAAAATCTTTTTTTCATTTACGAAGATAGCATGAGTAAATCTAGAAAAGCTTTTGAGAATACATATATTATAGCATTGATTTCAAATGTACAATACATTTATCTACCATAAAAGGTCTTTGCATTGCTGATATAGACGATATGAAAAAGAAATGATTGGTACGTGCATTCTTGAACTGTTCTTTCTATCTCGTATTATGGAACGGAATTTCCTTCATCGAACTTTTCCAGGGTAGTCGACGGATAAACTTTCACGTTTCCCTTGCATTTCTCGAAGCACTGAATAGAATTTGTCGAATTTGTTATACGCTCTTGCGTGCGAAGAAAATACGTGAAAGCCACCGTTCCTCGAAAAAGAGAGACTACATTCTTTTCAAAATCATCTTTCGGATTTCAACAAACAGACAAGAACCGCCAAATCATGATTTTTTTTGTAATAATAAAGCCAATAAAACTTTTCATTGCTTGCGACTCAGTGTTAGAAAATAAAAAGCGCGATCATGTAGATTTTTTCTTCAAGATTTAGCTTTTATAGAGTTTAGGAAATGTCTTCATTTCCGGAAAAAGCTTCTTATGAACTTTATCAGTTTCGCTTTGCTCGCTTCGTTTTAAAGTGTTTAGAGAATGGAATCTTTTCTATTATCTTTGTGCAGAGAATAAAGTTTTAAGAGCTAGTGTACTGTTGTTTTTGAATGCATTATTTGCAAGTTTAAAGAGTGATTAGGCTTGTAAATGAGTATTCGATTATTTACACTTTTATATCATTGTGTAGTAATTTTTATATCAATCCACATAAGTATAATAATGAAAATAAACGGTATTAATAGGAAGGTAATCTTGTACGTGAAATATAAAATTTGAGCGATAAATCATATCTTACAAACAACATTTTTCTTTCTGCGAATAGCTTGCAAAGAAAATGATTTTGATTCAAATGCTTTTTTCCTTACCTGTGATAAAAAAGGTTTTATCTTTCTTTTTCTAATAGCAATATCTTTATTATTGTAGAGCTTTTTTGGATCTTTTTACGACACGGAACGTTTTTCATTTTTATTTCGCGCTGTAACTTGAATTTGCACGAACAGTTTGTAGAATATGAGTATAGAAACTTTTCATTCAATATTACATACAATTTCCAATTTTTCTATTTAAGATCATATAAAAAATTCATGTTCGTGCAAGTATTTTACGTTTGCTTAAAACATCTTTCCGTATAACGAAAATTTAACGCTCATATATGTAGAGGGAAGGAGAAACTAATTAGCGTAAATATTTCGGTATCTTAAACTGCAAGTATGCGAAAATAGCGTAAAATAGTGTTGTGCTAATTATTCATTGTAAGCATTGTATATTCCGTGAAATACATAATAAAGTAAATGTGCTTGCTAATAAAAAGCAATTACAAACGCCATATTTTTTAGATAAATTTTACATTTTTATTTTATTAGGTGTCAAATTTAATTTCTGTCGTTTTTCGTCTCCAAAATTGATTTGTTTCGAAGGGAAATACCTTAATCAAGGTATTATTAATGAAGTATTATTAATTAGTAATAAAATAGAAAATGGAGGAAATTACTTTGATTAAGGTATTCATTCATCTTCCCTTCGAAACAAATCAATTTTGGAGACGAAAAACGGCAAGAATTAAGTTTAACACCTAATAAAATGATTTCATGATCATTTTCTTGATATGCTAACGAAGATAATATTAGTAAAAACACTTAAGAAGCTAAGAACATTTTTCACAAAAATCGATACAGTAGAATATAAAAAAAAACAATCAGTGAAATAATAGCTTTAATAAAGCAGGATTGTAACAACAAACCGATTGGTTCCGTCTCGCTCTTTACAATCACGATGATTGAAATCTACGGCGATCAGTCGTTTTTGTTGATGAAGTACGTATCTATGGCAAATACTAAAGCTGCCAAGATCGCGAAAGAACCAGCCGCTACCGTTTGATCGCTGTATTCCTGCAGATACGCGTGAATCAGGTTACTCGAAAAATTGTCCCAGTCGCGAATCAGAATGAGGCCGGCGGTGCAACAGAGAATAGCGCCCATCGTCGAAAAAATAAGAGCCTGCAAAAGAAAAGAATGAAAAACAGTACCTTGTTGATATACAATAATATATTATTTAGTACGATAGTCGCATCGTCATACGTCAAGGTCAGATACACGAAAATTGCGACAGAGAGAAGAAAAGTTAAATTTTCGGTGGAATTTTTTTTTTTCAAGAAACGCGAAAAAGAATGTATAACGAAATAATAATACTCGTATAACTCTGCGTTTGATTTTCAGTGTTTCAGTGTATTTTGTAAATTTTCCGTGAAACACAAAAGTTGGGGAACTTCAACTTTTTCAAGATTCCTCGTTTTCGTTGGCAATCATAGATAGATTTTGTATTTTATGTCGATTAATAGATTTGTTGCGAATAACGTAATATTTTTAACTCACGGTTTTTTTAGGCAATCTTTCGCCTAAGAGATGGCTCATAATAAGAACTCCATTTATGAAAATATAACCACACACTGCCACGTGAAATATCGCTATGTGATGTATATCAGTTGGTCGAAATTGATTCTGTTGAAATGGTCCTGTTACTAATCCCGTTGCAATGACACAGAGAACCTGTAACGCATTCAATTATTATATTTTATGCAAAAAAAGAACTTGGTAGAAAAATTCGAAATAAGTAATCTCTTAAAACAATCGCGAAATGCGTTACTAACTCAAATCATAATATAACGATTATTTCAGCTATGTTTAACAGAAAAATCAGCTTTATAACTGTTATAAAATTCTTTAATATAATAAGATCTTATCCTTATTGTTTCTCATTGAATCTAAAAACTGATAAACCAATCGTATTAAAGAATCTTATAGCAGTTGCAAAGCTGCTTTTTTTACTGGGCGCAACTATTGCTCTCAAAAACGTTAGATCGTTCATATAATATATTTTGATATATAAGAATTATTTATTATTAAATTGGACATAATAATTATGAACTATTTATTGAGCGATTTTACCAATTCGATAATTTTGCAAAAGAACGGCGCTTCTTTAAGATATCCTTTCATTCTCGTAAGGAGGCTGGGTCTAGAGCTGGTCTCCTCAGCCATTTTCAAATCACACTTTGTAGTACCTTTGTCAGCTGAGACGCGCAAATATAATCACGACAAAAAAAATATTCGCCGAGACATTCGAAGTGTGACGACGTCTGTTTCCAACTACGCTGAGAAACGCTCCACCCAACTATTGACCTGTCAGTAGCTAGTGTGACACTGACTAACATTAAACCGACTAAAGTCCCCACTTCCTCGCTAAATACATTTAATGCGTAATGGCAATAGTTCTTGGTACTCAACCTTGGCGGTGGGTCTGAGATGATCTGTGCTTCATATCTTTCAAGATGGGCCTTATCATCGCGAACACGAATATACCAAAACAATCTTTCACTGTCAAATTGATTATGCTCAATAATGATTTGAGATGGATAACAGTTTGTTAATTTAACGAATAAACAGTAAACTTGTGTAGCGAGTCATTTTGATTTGCGCCAATAAAACATACAGCAATTGTTATTAGTGAATCTATACTGGCAATATAGAATAGGGATGTACATTCTCGTAAAATTTTATTACTGATATGGTATTAAGGATGAGAGAGAGAGAGAGAGAGAGAGAGAGAGAGAGAGAAAGAAAGAGAGCGATAAATCCGAAGGCAGTCTAATCCGACCAAGAATTACGATCTTCGTAAAAGTACCTACCGTTGGAAATTCGGCGGAGGAAACTTTGTCGCGCGACATTCTGCCGAGTTTCATGGTGGTGTAAAAGATAAAAGAGTAGTTATTGGCTAAAGTGGCGAGTAGAGAAACGCAGCGAATAATTTTGCATTTCATTGCATCGCGCTCAGATTGTTGCAGACGACTTCTCGTTCGACGAGTGCTATTGAGATATTGAATCACTCTTCGAATCATAGTGCTTAAATTCGACGAGAAATATTGAGAGAAGACAGAAACTATTCATTCGTTGTCAATCCCAAGCATTTCTCTTGAATTTATTTAGACTATTATCTTGGAATTAAATAATGTTTTGACGTACCGATTCTACAGTTATATACTTATTTTCAGTCGAGAGTGTACACAGGAGGAATTCTTTTATTTTACTCGTTTTGCCGGTATCGTTGTGTACACGAATTTACTATTTTCGCAAGAAAAAAATCATTTTTGTTTCACATAAAATAGAAGTTTTAAATTATTTCGGGGCTTTTAACAAATCTTACAGAAAATTACAGGTCTATAAACATCAATTGATTCTAACAGAGAAGAGCTAGCATTTGTTGTACAATCGTGGAAAATGCATCCTTGCGATTTTAAAAGTATATTATCCGCATCTTTTACCGGATAGGAACCACGCACGAAAATATACTCGACATGTACTTGCGCTATCCACCCACGTTCATCCCATTGCTACACTCGGCCGCTCACTTAATTTATCATAACTCCTTCCGAGTTCACTTCTCCGGCCACCGCTTCGCCTTCTTGTCCTCCCCTCGTCACTTTTCTTCTTCTTTCCTACCATTAACGAATTCCCTACTTGCTTCCATTACTCGTCATCTTTCTCTTTCCCCGTTCTTCGGCTTCTTCTTTGACATGCTTGCGAGTTTCATTAGGTCAGCGTTGACAAGAGACATTACATCGTAGAAAATTCAATATGTCTAGCGAATTTTTATGAAATTTAATCGCAATGGCGAAGTTACGAAGAATCTTTTCTTTCGCGTAGGTACTATTTGATTGCAATAAACATCGGTAAACATATACTTATTATAGGTTTTTGTATCTGACTTATTTTCTTGTTTGCGCTTATTTTATATATTATATATGACAGATATATTATATATTTGACATTATCGTTTTATTTTTTTTATCTCCTCTTTTTCTATTGCTTATCTCAATTTTTGCTTCTCTTGGTAAAGTATAAGTTTCGTGTCATTTGCAATGCATTTCGCAAAACTGAACATAGAAGTTTTTAGTCTATCGTTAGGAAAGATCCGATAACTGTACTCATACCGTATTTTTTCAATTGAATGTATGCAATGTAGCAACATAAAATGCATAATAAAATATTTATAATTATCTTTTTTTATTTTGATAAAAATATATATTATATGAGAAATTCACAGATAATAAAGAGAAGTATCTAGCAAAGAGAAGGATATATGAAACAATTTATTGGAGTCAAACAATTTAAGTTATTTTCGATGGAAAATCATAAATTTTACTGAGAGTTATTATGAATAAGAAAAGTTTAATATCAATTGATCTTCTTAATTAATTAATTAAATTTATTTTTTTTTATAAAAATAACAAAGAATTAAAAAATGTCTTTATTCTGTAAATTTCTATAAATTCTCTATACTATACAATTTGAATTTTACCGCGTGGCTTCACTAAATTGTCATTTTTACAAAGCCTTGTGTGTAGAGCGCTGCTGCAACTCATGTTAGTAAAAATCGAACTTGTCACCGCAATGTGTTACCTCCTCTTCATAAACTACTTTAATTAAACGTCCATGTGAATTTTATCGTCGCGCAATCGCGTATCCGCATTTAATAATACCGTGATAGCAACGACGAATTTGACAATCGTTCAATTCTCGTTAAACGAGCGCGAACCGTATTGCCAGGTGGTTATGCGATAAAGTCGATCTTTGAAAAGCGGGTGAAATCTCCCCGCCCGCTAATTAGAGCTTTCACTCCGCTTATGGACGGTCAACCTATATATTTTCGCGGCACAATCGATGAGCGACCGTAATTTTCTCTGTCAAATCTCCCGTTCCTCGACAAGGTCGATAAGTCACACGTGATGCGGAATTTTATGAAGTACGTGCGATCGCGACCTCAAACGCAATCGAAGTGTTCGGAATATATGCTACGTATTTACCAATAAAGAAAATAAGCACGACTTTTCTATCGCAACGTATTTTAAAGACAGTCACTGTCAAGATGCCAGTTTCACTCGTGTGAAAAGTACTTATGTTGAAGAAATTTGAGTCTTATATATTTTTAATAGTAGGAAGAGAGGAAGAGTTCAAGAGAGCGCACTCGAAAAACACAGATATATACTCGTTGTCAATCTTAATCTGCATCAGTCTTAGTGAGAAAGAGTTTTTCGAATGTAGGCACAATGAAAATAAAATTATATTAAATCGCGGATGAAGTTTAACTAAAAGACGAACCGTAATTTATCAAATACAGTTTATATTCTTCGTGCTTAATATGTATATGGCTAAAAACCGGTTGCGCTGGTTCAATATTGCTGGCGTAACGACTCACACTCGCTAAGAGGTAAAGGGAGCATAAAGAGATTAGAAATGTTGGTGGTCATTAACTTGTACAACATTCGAAAGACGAATATCATTCTTGTCATCTGGCTAATTATTCACATCGGTTCCGATTTCTAAGAAGAGCCAGTTTTGTACAGCGAACGCATCTGATACTTTATCATTCGTTATTATCTTCGCTTTCATCTGATCGAACGCGATTCTATTTAGCACGACAATCTAGATTTTTATAGTTGTCGTTATGTTCGTGTTAACATAATGTGTGATTGTGAATGTGATTTTTAGACTATACTGTCAATGATATTTGCTTTTGTCGTCCACACGCCCATAAAACCGGCTGACTGACGTTCCTATTTCACATCGGTAATGGCAATTTGTACTTTCGCGATACACTATTGCTACACGCAATTACTCTTCATCTCCAATAGGATAATCTCAATAGGATAAAGTGTTTACTTTTACTCTTGCATATATGTATATGTATCACTATTCCGAATGGAGACGATAATCAATCCATATTTCGATGTCACATAGATTAGCGCCGCAACGTGTAATTTTCTCTAGAGAAACTAATCTGTTAATTGTCTTATTTATCATGTTTATTAATAATTTGTTATCATAATAATACTGTATTTATCAAAGGTTTATGCGCTTATTTATTAGAAATTTTTAGAACTTATCTGATCTGTGATAGTTTTTCGAAGAAGCATACACATTGAATTATATATATTTCATCGATTTTCGATGAATTTTATTCAAAATTACGAGATTTTATAAAAAAATTTAACTGAGAGGAATGTATTTATATAAAGTATTTTTTTTTGTAGTAGAGCATTGCAGATTTTGAAAAGAAATTAAAAATTTCGGTGTTCCTCATATTTGTTACATGTGCATTAGATGTTTAATTACGAAATTAATTGTTTTATTTGTACCACGTTTGAAAGAGATTCAGTGTTTTTCGTTTGAAATACATGTTACAATACAAACTTCTAAAGAGATTAAATTTTTGAAGCAATTATAAAAGTTCATTATTAATAATAATGAATAATTACTATAATTATCAATCTATAATAATTAAAATGATATTAGATAAGAAATATAATAATTTATTCTTATGCCCTTTTCTGTCTTTTTTTACTAGTCTCACTCTCTCTTTACTAGATATCTCCAGTTATCGATTAGCGAACTGCAGATACAGCGTGCGTGATGCAGATGCGGCCGTAGATGCATCCGGTCTTGATAAAGCGGTGACTTAAGTCTTAATCGCACGTTTCTCGACGGTAATGTCTTAGCGAAGAACGCTTTTCACGGATATGTTTGCAATGTTCGTGTAATCCGACGAGGAACACTCGCCTTAATCTCCTAGATTTCATGGTGTGCGTGAAAACCTGATTTCATTATCCATTGTCGACACGAGTTTTCACTCTGTTGACCTCGCTCACCTCGCTGACCTCGCCGTAGGAATATGTACCGACATCTATTAGGATTAAATCGCGCGATTAGCGATTTATAAACTGAGTTAATTTAATAGAATGACGTTGTGACGTGCGTGGAGATTATCGAAAACCGAGAGAGAAACTAATAAATAAAACTTTAACACATTATTACACAATAAATGTAATGAACACGAGTAATAAAAGTCTAACTGAATTCCACGTCAAGAAGCATCATTTTATGCAAAGCTAATTAGCGTATTAATTACATCTGTTAAACGTGACGCAATTATTCACATTTTCAACATTATATTACAAGTTTGGTTTCTGTTATGTTTTGTTTAATAATTTCTCGTATAATATTAACATGCTACTTTATTTATTATTGTGTACGAATTTACGACACGATTGAAATGTCTGTTCTGTGGCTAACAGCTGTTAACGATCTGATATGAGCAATACTCAGAATTGTTTTCATAATACGCAGCGTTCTCGGT